TTTTGTTTTTTTTGTTTTTTTTTTTTTTTTTTTTTTTTTTTTTGTTTGTTTTTTTTTTTTTTTGTTTTTTTGTTGTTGTTGTTGTTTTGTTTTGTTTTGTTTTGTTTTAGGGGAGGGTTTATTTTCTCTCCCTGTATAGTTTGTCTTGGGGCCAGCCCAGACTCTTCTGACAAACAGAGATGTCTTTGGTTTTTTTAAATATAAACAATGTGTTTATTCAGCTCTCCTTCCGTCAACCTACTGGGAAGCACCAGCTGCCATTCAGAGCTGGCCCAGCCCTCTCTCTCTGCTGGCCTGTGGGTACTGGCAATGACACACACGGCTCTGGTGTGGTGACACCCAACATATCACTGCCCCTGTCTGGGGAGGGCACAGGGGATCTGCTGGAGGCTGCCCAGTGTGTCCCAACAAGCATTGCCACCTCTGTGAGGAGAGGCCAGAGCAGCTGCACCAAACCTCAGCAGGGCACTGGGGTAAAGAAATGCTGGTGTTGGAGACCGGGGCACCTTCCTACATGACACTGACCATAGAAGGGTGCTGACAGGTGATTGTAGCAGTTGATTGAGCCCTGTGCTGGCTTTGGCAGCAGGCAGGTGTTCACATGTAAATCTTGATGCTGCAGAAGACACATGGTGACTTACAGCCACAAAGTTGTCTCCTGATGACCGTGTGTCCAAGCAGATGCTATGAACCTCTTGCCATGTCTTTCCAGGGGAGAGCAAGGTCTGGTGCGGAACCAGACACAGGTCTGTGGACGCAATGTGTGCTTGCTGCTGCCTGTAACATGGAACAGCTGGCACTGCCACTGCCTCATGATGTGCTGCATCCAGCATGGGTTTGTTCCTGACCAGTGCAGGTCACCACCTGGCAGGGTTGGTTGGCGCTTAGTTAAAACTAGACCAGGAGCCATGCCAACAACGGTCCAGATGCCAAGTCCTGGTACTTCCTGTCACTGAACAATTAAGCACAATCAGTGTTAACTCTTCTTTCAGCCTCAAAGCTACCAGGGAATTACTTCCACTGGGGTACCAAAGTGTCAATCCAGAAATGCATCTGTCTCCAAGGAGACCTCTTAGCAGAGGCTAAAAATAGTGAGGAGAGCATGGTGGGAGAGTTTTCCCTTTGGGAAGAGATATCTTGTTTGATCTTCCCAGCTCTGCAATGCCATTGTGTTTTCCATCTTTCTGCTCTGTTTGCCTTGGTGAGGGCCAGGCACTTGCCATAAAGTGTCTTTTCTTTTTTCCAGACTCTTTTTTTCCCCTAGAAGGTCAGCAAGCAGGAAGTCTGGTAGATGCCCGATGTATCAGAGGCTGTCACAAGGGCTAGGACAAGGAAAACTGGTGAGCTGTTGAAATAAGCTATCCAGAGGGTGGGGTGGTGGGTTGTTTGCTCACCTCAGTCCACAGAGCAAGAACTGGTATTAGCAGGAAATAGCAGTCACTCTATCCTGTCTCACCATGCCACCTCTCCTGCAGTCTTAGCACAGAAAGTTTAAATAGAGGGAATCACCTGGGGCTTAAATGGAAGTCCAATAGATGCTTCCAGTCAGAATCTAGCAATCATCTTGTCCTATCACAAACTCCACTCTCGTGCTGCCAAGAAGGTCAGGAGTGGCCAAGGGCAACAGCAGTCACAGTGATGCCACAGCCAGAAATCCATCAGCCTGTCACCTTGTTCAGGGAATGACTGTAAAACCATATTTCTTTGGGGAACATATTGCTGGTCTGTGGAAAAGGCAGCGTCCACAAAGTAGACAAAGGAGTCCTTCAACTTTATTCAAATAAAGGGAGAGAGTCCACTGGGCCATACCCCTGTGGGATCTCTCTCGAAGTTTCACAGGACACAACTTCCTTTTCTCCTCAAACTCCCGCATTTTGCCCTCTTCCTTTCCCCACTGGCTGAGATACTAGGAAGGTACAGTCTTCTGGAATTGCCCACCACATATTCCACACTTGAACATGTATTGACATTTCCCCCCAAAGTCAAGAAGTTCAGGCTTTGTTCTGTAGATCCACCACAAGTTCAGACTGTCTGGGTTCTGCAACAGACTTTGTGTGGACCCATTTCTCCTATTATCCTGAAACTCAGAAGCTCAGACTGTCTGGTCAAACTGTTTGGGTTCTGTAACAAATTTGTGTGGCTTGATGTTTGTAGATTAAGACCCATTTCAAAGACATTAATACCCATTTCTCTTAAAGACCCTCACAACTGACTCATTTATAAAGACATTAGCACATGTCTTTCCTATCAGTGGGTACTTACATGTTGAAGCTTGGAGCAAGGTCCTAAACACAATAACATCTGCCTCTCTCATCCTGGGATACCTCACCCTGATTGTCAATGAGCTGGAGCTTTTTTGTTGCTGAATTTCCTATTCTACCTGCATGTTTGTGTTTTGTTTGGCCCAAGCATCCCTCCCTCCTGTTCACTGGGGTTGTTCTGCCTGGTGTAACTAATCCAACCCATCACCATTTTTATTGCTTTGCAGAAGAAAATACCTACACACAGAGT